CTCTCTTGAGCACATGTGCCCTGTAGCAAATGAAATAATCATAATAATAATAAACAACATTAAATAAATAATTCTTTAAAAAATAATTCAGAAGCCAAGAGAATTACAGAAAGTGTCAATAGAGTTTTAATACATAAAACTCAGACATGTGAACCTTCTGATCAGCAAAAATATTTATTTTATTATATAGCAATTGTTAACATTAAAAGGTGCTAAAATGAAAAAGTTTTTGTATTATTTAAAGAAGAAACCCTCCATGGATAGAAACCCTGTCAACTAAACACCTTATGTAGAGTATAGAAAGAAAAAAATAGACTTTTTTTTTCTGCCAAAGATCTTTCCTTCTTTCTTTTTTTAAATATATATACATTCAATCACATTGTTTAGCTTACAAAGTGAACATTTCAATATGCGAACATTTCTCCCCAGTCTAGTTGATCAAAGTATCTTCAACAGATAACACCACACCTCCCCATCCCATCAATGCTCTGCCTCTGTATCCCTCCTCCAAATGTCCTTCCCTAGGCCCCACTCCACACACACCACATCTGACATTCACACCCATCTCGTGTTTGTAAAAAAAAAAAACAGACTTTAATAAGATAGCTAAACTCTTCCATTTCTTACACTGAGAACTACTAATCTATATGCTAATGACTCTCCAGATAGTCATCTCTAGAGCACTCTTACTCTAAAACTCCAGATCCTACTGGAACCTTCACTTAGCTATCTTTAGACATGCTACAGATACGTTTCTTAAAACTTGTGCTAAGTTGAACTGAGCCCCTCTCCTCAGCCCATTTCTTATCTCGTTCTCCCAGTGATTTGCATTTCGTGAAAAGTATTGAAATCTGCCAGATTTCCCAAGCGGCACATGCATACCATCCTTGTTCTGCCTTCTGCCATGCTTCTTATATCACAATTCTTGTTATCTCTATCTTCTAAACGTCTTCAGAGTACTACATCAGCCAGGGTCATAGCAAGAGAAAACTCACTGCTTATTTTAACAGAAAGAATTTGCTATAAAGAGCTTGTTAGGTAGTTATTGAGGAGCTAACAAAGAGAGAATAATGAGGTAACACAGAGAGAGAATTGCAGGAATGGCTACTCCCCTGGACTACGGAAGCAAAGGGCAGAGAGGTTGAGGTTATTAGAATTTAGGAGCTTGGGAGAAAGGCCTTGGAAGTCTGGGACCCAGGCTTTGACCAGAGGCCATGTCCTGGCTTCAGCTGATGCTGCAGAATCTCAAGGGAGGGTTACATGAAGTCAGGCTGGGGGAGGGAGACAGCTGGTGCTGGTACCTCTGAAGGGTATGAAAAAGCTGGTTCTGGGAGTGTGGGAAAAGGTGGCCTAAGCAGTGCTTTTTGGACAAAGGGCTCTTGCTGGGACAATGCCAGTAGGACCAGCAAGCATGTAGGAATGAGCAGGTCGTCTTCTCTCTCCTTAGCCTTGTCTCTCTCGAGCGTTGCCTATTAGAAGATGTTAGTGGGGGGAGAGGAGAGGAGAGGAGAAATGCAAAGTACCAGTGTCAGTATCCCTGAAAAAAATCTAGAAAAGTGTGTTTGACACCAGGAGACAACAGCTTGCTATCTCAGTCAACAGCGTCTACTTCCTAACCTCTAGAGTCCACCCTCTTCTCTGTCTCTACCCCTGCTCTCCTGCCTTAGGTTACCGTCATCTCTCTGTTGACTTAACGCAGTAGCCCCCTCACTAGTCTTGCGGTTTCCTCTTGCCTGCCTTAAGTCCACTTTCCGCACAGCAGCCAGAGGGAACCTTATTATATAAAGAAGAATGCGACTTGGACCTTCCTCTGCTTAGATCTCTCCAATGCGAACCAGTGTTGGACAATGTCAGAGGGTCAAGAAATCAGGGTAAAACTGAAGCTCCATGGACCACACTCCCTATTACGCTCCCCCAAACCTCTCTGGTGGGGATGTCTTTGGGATACACCGCATAGTCTAGGCTGGCCAGATCTAGGCTGGCCAGATCCACAGCTAGGATCAAATGGATGCCTCTCATTTTAAGGCCTCAGTGCCTGAGGCAGACATTATTTCCCATCAGAGGACATTCAGGTGCAAGAGTTGTTTCCTGATGCTTCTTTTTTCTTTATGTCTTTGTAATATAGTCTCAATTTTCCTGAGAGAAGCCATAAACCTTCTTTAAAAAATTATCCTTTGGGGCCAGCCGATGTGGTGGTGGTTAAAGTGCTTCACCCACATGAATGACCATAGTTCAGGTCTCGACCTGGTGGCTTGAAATCATGCTGGGCACGTGTGCACACATGCCCGAAATTGCAGGGGTAGATGGAGGAGAAGGGATTCTGGTGTGGCCATCTCCTCTGGAGGGTGATTTCTCACTTTCCTTCTCACTGCTTGTCTGTCTCTCTCCAGAAAGTGCATACATCCTATGGCAAAAACCTTGAGAAAAATGATCTGTTTATTAGACCTCATCTTGTCAGTATTTCTCCATATTTCTTCAAACACTATAATGTATCAAGTCCACTTTCTTTTCCTTTAATTGTGGAGTTGGTTTACACCAGGGTCTCTCAGTCTTATCACTTTGTAGGACTGACGGTTGTTGGCTGTGAGGGTTTTCAGCAGCATCCCTGCCTCTATCCATATTGGTCCAAAAAACCAGCTGAAAAGTCAAAGTTTTAAGGAAAAAGGGAATATGTTGGTCATAAATCTAGCATCAAATAAGGGTCATACTCTGGGGCATGCAGTCAAAAACGGCGACACATCTGACAAGGTTAGAGTCTTTCATATAAATAAACACATTACAATCTGTATAAGTTGTTCTGAAAGAGTTTCCACCAGATAAAGATAACAGAGGTGGGCCTTACAGAGATGGGCAGAGGGGCAGAATTGAGAGAAAGTCCATTGGCAGAAGCTGTTCAAAGCAGCCTATTGGCACTGATGGTTGTCTGGTTAGTAAGTCTAGCCTACGGAAGACTGCGAACTTGGAATTATCTTGGGAAAGAATGCTTTGTGAACGTCATTCATGTAATCAGTACGAAACAACCACAACCAGTAAGTGGCTTGCCAGTCAGTCCCCCTTCCTCTTAGTTCTCTGGTCCTTGTTATTATTATCAATTTTTAAAGATTTTGTATAGCAATCTCTTCCAGATACACTTTATCTTCTCATCTGTGAGATGCCAGTAGCACGCTTTCATGGTTATAAACACCAGAAGGTCTCCAGACATTCACTGACAAATGTCTTTAGTTTTTATAGTTTTCATTAAACAACACACCATTTTTAACATAGTATGTCCTATGCAATATTTTACAAATTACTGCAAAATAATACTTTTTTAAAAGAATTATTTTTATTCAACTTTATTTATTTATTTATTTATTTATTTATTTAAATTTGACCAGAGGAGAACAGAGTGAGAGAGAAAGAGGGAAAGTGAGAAAGCAAGCTGCCAGGTCGGGGACTCAAACAGTGGTCAGCTATGTGGGAGTACAGCACCCTTAACCACTACACCACCTGCCAACCCCCACAAATTGAAATTTAGCTGGACATATTGCATTTTTCTTTTTTTTTTTTTTTGTTAAATCCAGAAGTCCTGCCTGGGGCAAGATCATCCCCAACTGAGATTCACCACTCTAAAACTGAATGTGCGTTTTACCAATTGCAATGAGTCAGTTGCCTTTTTATTGATTTTTAAATTTTTTTTTTCACATTGAAACATTTCATTTTTCATGAGTGTAATGAGCATTATGCCTTTATAATGAGCATTGATGCCATCAAGGAAGAGACATAGAATCTAATTAGATGAGTACTGGTCCCGATAGACCAAGAAACCTTTAGAATTCTGTCAGGGAGGAAAGAGCTTGCAGGAGGAAGCTGTCAGCAATCTTAGCTAGGAGGCAGGCAGTGAGTGAAGAATTCTGTCCACACAAATTAGTTAAAAGAGGTTACAAAAGAGGCCGCAAGAGATTACAAAAGATTTGCATAAGAGAGTGAAGTACCAGATGGAAATAACACTAATGTTTTTCAAAGTCCATGTGAGACACTTAAAGGTCTTAACAGACTAAAGAAATGCCCAGCTAAACCAAGACTTAGAAAAAGCCATCTGCAATCTTCAAGGATTTTGTAGACTTCTGTCTTCTCCAACAGAAGGTTTAGCTAATTCTCAAAGTCCTGTGAGGTTGGCCTCAATGCCAACCCCACAGCAAAGGAGGTAACCTTGTTACAATTATAATTCAATATGGCCATTAGTGGAGGAGGAGGCATGTCAGTTTGCCCTAACATATATAATCACACGTCTTGGATCCTGGCCCTTATCTCTGGCCACTAAAAAACCTAAACTGATTGGGAAAATCACACCAATTTGCTTAGGATGGTTGAATTGCTTCTTTCACGGGTGTGTGTGGGGGATTGGGGTGTATGTTTTAGCTCTGGGAAAATGTAATATTTTGATATGATTGTGGTAGATTCAGAGAAAATGTATACATAATTGATAACATATGTAGTCTAGAGAATGTTTACATATTGTAGAGATCTGGTATTTTAGCATATCTATCCAAATACATTGGTGATTCAATTTAAAATCTGCAATAGAGTCATTAATTGTACACTTCTGATTTTTTTTTTAAAAATTGAATGCTATGAAATAACTTGGCTCATTTTTTCAATACTATTTGAATATTTAAGACAATTTAACATTATTTTGTTAACAAGGCTAATTTATGAGTTTCCTAATACATTTTTGTGTTTAACTGTTTAGCTGGGAAGGCGCACCTTGGTAGGCAGAGAGGTTGTGGGGGTTGTCAAGCCCTTTGCCAGATACGTGGCTCTCACAGGTGAGCTTGCTGGTCTCTCCTTTCTCAGCAGCTACTGAAAACCAGATTTCCATTACGAAATGTCCTCAATACAGTGCCCTATTTTGAACCCTGAATCTTTCCTG